GGGGAGATAGAAAGAGACACAGAGAGAGAGAGAGAGAGAGAGAAACAGAGAGAGAGAGCGAGGGGGGGAAGGGGGGAGAAGAGAGACAGATGAATTTGCAATAACAGGCTGAGCGTCATAAGAAGTGCTAAAAACCAGTATTCAAACTTATCCAAGATGACCACCCCTTGTAGAGAAAAAAAGTGGTCATATTAGACAGGTGGTTCTCTAGGATAGTGCCATTATAATATAGAAAAAAATGCAAGGGGGGCAGGGGAAATGGTCATTTGTACAAGCGGTTGTCCACCTGTTTAAGCCAACCACTTTTCTCCTTGACAAAAAGAGGTTGCCTTGGAAAATATTGACTGCATTTAAAATATGATAAAATGCTTTATTATGTTTTATTATTCATCAACATTTACTCATTCTCTGTTGGAACAAATATATATAAATAAATCAGACACCGGTGAGTCACCTGTAAAAGTTGCTCTTGACTATGTAGTTATCCAGCGTCTCGGACACAGGGCTTCTGTAGTACTTCTGCATCTTTGGGTCCTCCGACGCCTTCAGCAACTGGGTCAATGACTCAGATTTCTGTAGGAACGGTCTGTGAAGTTCCCAGTCCATGCCCAAAGCTTTCAGCAACACATCTAGGTGAGGGGACAGAAAAGGTTGGAGTGTTAAAACATCCAGAGACATATACATATATGGGCAACTCTCGTTCATACAGAAATCCTTTGCATGAATTGTCTGTTTATGTCTATATTAATCTACACATGATGGTCCATAAGTACTACTATTAAACTACCACATAAAATGTCATATATAGGCAGAAGAATCATATGGCAGCAGCAATAAAATTAAGAAAGCCAGGAAAAGTGGCATTTGCACACAATTAAGTAAAATCAGTATGCTATGCAAACATTTAGGGTAATTTTACAGATAACTTATAATTTAGGTAATGATCAACGTGCTACTTATTTCTTAAAGACCTCTTGCAATTTAAATGTTCAAACATAATAGCAACTCATTCAACATTTTTTACTAAAAACATTTTCCAGAAAATCTAGTCTACAGTTACAATAATAGTTCTGAATGTCAGTATGCCTGGATTACTAAAATCTGTACAGAACAGAATTAAAACTATTTTTAAAAAGTAAAATAAAAATCAGTAATAAATCGATTGCTAAAACAAAAATTAAGGGAAAAATGAAGGAGAGAAGGATCTGAAAAACGACAAAGACAGCTCAAAGCAGGGTCAGGACAATGTGGAGTGTTACTTCTGGATGAAAAAAAAAATCAATATTGTCTAGAAAGGATGAAAAATCCTTTTCCACTCAAAGAACAATCTTGCAATGTCAACTCAACAAAACCCCATTCCAAACACAGAATCTGTCTTTGAAAGTTTCTTTGCTTCAACTCCCTAATCTTCCAGCTTTAACTAACATATGCAGTGGAGATCATTAGCATGAACCCAACAATTTTATTCTGTTCTTAGTGCTGGGGAGTATCAAAGACACAGCATAAAAAGAGTTACGTCCAAAAGGAAGTGATCATGTAAAGGAAACTTAAGTCCCAAGTATTGATCAGAATAACTACCAATCTCCTCATCACCATGACTATAAGAACAGGGAAGTTAGTGAAAAAGTATTGAGTAACTAAGAAACAAACTACAAATTTTCAATGTATAGAATCTTTTAAAACAAATACAGCCAAACTAGAAGTAAAACTGAGATACAAAACTTCCTACTACAACAGGAAGGCATAATGTTTTGTATTTTTCGGCAGATGAAATACTTGGCAGGCCTAATTTGTACCTATTGATCAAGTTAGAACACAGAAGCAGTGACACTATAAAATGAAATGTTCAAACTACAAACAGTATTTGAAATAGGCAGCAATGGGTTTTCTAAAACACAGGCTTGGTCAAAAGAGCATACAAGCAGGATAAATAATACACAAGCATTAAACTCTTTTCATTCAACTTGGAAAAAAAGATGTCCATAATTGCCCCCTTTACTGGGTTAGATTCAATCATCTCCAAAGCCCCATTAGAGAGTCCTGGAAAAATCAGCCCTGGCAACAAATCAATATATGGTTCATTTTGTGGTCTTGCAAACCTTTTAAGCCCATAAACTGTCTATTTGTATCAGCAGATTGATAGCTGAGAGTTATGTAATTCAAATTACTGGATGTGTTCTGGGATTATAGAGAAATATGATAAACTAAATTAACAAAATGCTAAAGCAAACAATGTACTCTTGAAAAGAGCTAATGGCAGAGCTATGAAGAGGAATGAAGGCTTTAAAAACCGACGATTGATCAAGTTGAGATCATAGGCACAGCGCAAAGAGTCAGAACAATGTTTGTTTTAAACAAGCTTCTCATTGGGATTCGTTAGCCATTACGTCCATGGCTCGACAAGACTTGAGCTTGCCTCCCCTGCCACAGTATTAGGTTTGAGTCCAGCTCATGTAGACATGGTTGGCGGTTATCACGGTTTTCTTTTCTTCCGTAATTAACACACCTGGTCTTTTTGATAGGTGCTTTTTTGTTTGTTTTAGAGAGAGTTTTACGGCACTTGCAACACAATAAGGTCATATAAATGCAGAAGATTAGAAGTGTTACATGAGAGTACAAAACAGAAAAAAAGGAGGAGAGATTAAGATGATAAATG